GGCTCAATCCGACTCCGCCGCCGGCGCTGCCCAGCAAGCGCCGCGAGCGGGGAAGAGCTCGCGCATCGCTGCTTTCTTGGAAGACGACAGCGGCTCGGCGAAGGTCTCATGGAATTTGGTTGCAATCGCGGCATCCGGAGTGCAGCCAGCGTCATCAGGCCTCTTTTGCCACCTGTTCAGCATCACACGCCTCGCCTGTTTCTCCAGCTGCGGGTCACGAAAGGATGACTTGGCTGCGAGCCTGTCACTACGACGAGGTACGAGGTCGGTGACATTATGCGCAATGCTTGGACGCGGCGCAGTACGGATCAAAGTTTCCTGCAGCGGCAGCCTGAGGGAGTCGATGAAGCCGGCAACCGAAGCGGATATATAGCATGTCCGGCAATGGCCGCAGCGTTGGCTGACTGCGCTGCAAATGGGCCAACGCCCGAGGATGTGCCCGCGACTGAGCATTGGCCCAAGAGGTTCTGAGTTGGGGATTCCATGTTAGAAGGTGGGCCCATGTCGGCAGGCGCATGGGCAGCCCACACAGGATCGTCAATCTCCACCGAGAGCGAGACCAATGGGCTTGATGTATGTAGCACTGGGTCGCCGAGAGGTGAGGGAGTTGGGCCCGAGCCTGAAGCGGGAGGCCTAGGAAGGCGCTCGCACTCCAATAGCCAACTGAGCTCCCTAGGGCCGACGTCATCCTCCCTGGCCGCCGGGTCCACCAGAAAACCCGGACCAGCCACCGGGTCCAGCGGACAAGAAGATCGCGCACCCGCGATCAGCGACCAATCCTCGTACAGTTGTGTGGCGATGAAGCCTCGATTCCCGCAACCACCGTCACCGCGAAGGCCGAGGAGTGAAGCGTCATCATGGAGCAGCACGCGCGGCTCCGGTGCCTGGGCCTTGTTTAGATTGAAGATTTTTTCAACCCGATGAATAGTAGCACTTTCGTCTTATTTGGTAAATATTGTCTAATCGTGGACCAACTAGGCTCAAAAGATTCATCTCGTGATTTTCAACTAAACTGTGTAATTAGTTTTTTTTTTACCTATATTTAATACTCCATGCAAGCGTCCAAAAATTGATGTGATGGAGAGAGAGTGAAAAAACTTGGAATTTTGATGTAAACTAAACAAGGCCCTGGTGGTCCACCTTTCCTGACTGGGCAGGTCGTACGGCCGCTTCAAACAGTATGGGGTCCACGGATCTTCCCAACTCTGTATCTGTCGGGCGATGTAGACAGAGCGAGTCCACGAAGGGGTTTGCGGTGCTCTGTATCTTCTGACAGCTTTCGACCGGGAGCTCGGGTCCAACGACCGCACGAGTCCCGACCCATTGCACCACTGCCTGCCGACCAATCGAGTGCGGTTCCCAGGGCACCGCTGCATGGCGGCCAACCGTGCGCGGCGCCACAACCGGGCATGCAAACGACCCGACGAGGATGATACGCCACAATCTAAAGGTGGGCCCACGTCCGTTGCTAAGCGAGGGCGCGTCGTCTCCGGCGCCAGCGAGCCGTATCGATTTCGGACCCCAGGAAGAACGGCATCCCCCAAGGTCGAGGCCAGGGTGGCGGCGGTTGTGGTTGCTGTCACCACTGTCGTCGTCATCATCATCGTTAGGCCTGCCATGCCCGTCATCATCATCGGATGTGTGCCGGGTGACAGACCAATCTTGGAACTCGACAAACCGGCAACGGACCAGGTAGCGGAGGGCAGGGAGCTCCGTCATGTCCACCAGCGCTTCAGGAAGCAGTGGCTCCGGGATGGCCATGATCTTCTCATCTGGGACGAGCCTAGGGTGAATGCACTAGGCAACAACGAAGAGCTCGTGGTCATCATCCTCGGGTACGACCTCCAGCGGGGCGATCTCGACGCCAGCACAGGATGTTCCCAAGATGCGCCCGGCGATGGAGACGCTCCGAGCATGGGTGGGGACGTTCCTCATTCCGATGAGCACCCTGAACGTGAAGGCACCCGCCGAGGCCATGGATGTGCGCCTCCAAGGCCGCCAGAGTAGGGTGAAGGGGTGGCACGGTGGCGCACTGTTCAGTACGAGGTCCCGATCCCGGCGCTCGCCAAAACGGACAATGAAGTCCTCCGGAATGTGACGATGGACGGAGAAGGCCTCCGCGGGAGGCCGAAGTGATCGCAGAGGCGACGTCGGACCATGGCCGAAGTGACCATAGGTCGCGTACCTCCTACGATAGCGACCAACATGCGGGAGAGGTCCTCCTCGGCTGCCTCTAGCTCCGCAGAGCGAGGGATGACGACTATCTCCGTGAAGCGTCCTTCCGTCGGTGGCACATCAGGCACCGGGTTCAAGGCGTCTGCGTCCTCCTTGCCGGGATCCTCGGGGGTGGCGGCGGAGGGGTCGGAGGTTCACAGCACCGGGGCACCGAAGGAGAGCGGCCAGTGGAGACTGACGGGCGGATGCCGTGTCATCACCATACGCCGGCGCCGTAGCCTGGCGGAGTTCTACACGCCGGCGTGGGGCGGCACGACAACGGGCGTTGCGACGAGAAGGCGAGCGGCCGCGCTTGCCACCCGGGTGACGGAGCCCAAGCCGACACTCCCTGGCCTCGTGGCCTGGCTGCTTGCAGAGGAAGCACCTTGCCCTCCAGACGCAATCCGCCTTGACGTGGTCACCTACCAGGCAATTGAAGCACAGGCCAACTAGGTTCTTGGGGACAGGCTTTACTGGTTTGGGGGGCGCACGCCGGTGCCAGCGTCGACGGCTCTGGACCTGGTAGAAGCCGTCAACATCCGGCGGGCCCGTGGGGCAGACGGGGTGGACGACAGCGGAGGCGACGTGACCGCGCGGTGGAGAGACACGGGAATGAGTGCGACGCGCGTCCGCCAAGAAGCCACCATCAGCAGCCGGAGCGCGGGCGTGCCGCCGCCTCCGCGGGCGGCGCCGGCGCGGCACCGCGACCTACTTGCCCCTGCCCTCAGGTGGCGGGGAGGGGGGATCGGAGTCCACCGAGGCATCCGAGTCAGTGAGAGAGACCCTCTCCGCGAACCCGGCCTCAGAGCTCGCCGGGGAGAAGGGGGGCACGAACGGGTTGAGACTCGACGTTCCGGCGAAGCGGCCCTGCAGGGAGTCCCACTCCTCAGCCTCCTCGACCTCATCTGCCCAGGAACGGCGAGACGGGGAGCCTCGTTCCAACGGAGTTGCCATGGAGGGGAGCAACGAGCGAAGTAGCGGCAGCTATGGTGGGCGGCGAGGCTGGGGTGGCCGTCGGCGGCTGGGACTATGGTGGACGCCAGGGCCGGAGTGGCCACCGGCGGGGGGGGCAAAGCTCAGCTACTCCCGAGCGTATGCAAATGCAGTAAAAAAACGATATCGTCACATGTATTCGGTTGTGCAATGCAATTATGCAACTGAATACAGTAGGTTCTGAACTCTGCAGGGCAATCGAAATCGATTCAACCCTGCTGAGGCTAGAACGCTTCCTCCTGCGCGGCATCTGAAGTGTGAGGCTTATGTACACACCTTGTTGGACCCGGCGTGGCGAGGGAGAAGCCGCCGATATGGGGCACTCCATCGAGGCGGAGAGCAACTCTATCGCAGTGGCAGCCACCTCCGCCTTCCATGGAACCAACGGCGGAACGACCTTGCTCTGACCGCAGCGGCGCAGCCACGTTCGCGCAGTCGCGCACGCTGGCGCCGGCGAGGGAGAAGGCGGATCGTCCCCACCAAAACTGGGCTGTTGCGGGGGTGGTTATGGGCCGTCAGGAAGTCAGAGGCTTGTTTGGCATGGGCTCATGGGCTGTGTAGCTTATACTACTGCTCCCTCCATCCATAAAGAACTTTGATGTTTTAGTTTTGTTCTATCTAAATCAAATTGTTGCAAATTTGACAAAATATATAGAAGTATTTTCTAACATTTATTATGATACTAAATAGATATACTATAAAAATATGTTGCATGGAGGATTGCATGGTATTTATTTAGTAATATAAATATTAGTTTTCTAGTGTATAAATTTGGTCAAACTTAGATAGTTTGACTTAGAACAAAATTAAATCAGTTTTTTTTCCGATGGAGGGAGTACTTAAAAATAAATTTTCATTATTTCAGCGAAGCTGCAAAAGTCCAAGCAAAAAACTAAAACACAAGAATAAAATGGTGGAAGCCAACATAAAGCCCCGTTTGATACAACTTCTCCACCAACTTCGGGAACTGTTTGGCATAGTTTTTTTGCGAAACGGGTACAAAAGAAACAGCTCATCAAGTGGAGCCTTAAAACATGGTCTTGCAAGAGGTGGGCACCCGATGGAGCTTATGAGCCTTAGAGACGGTTTTAGATAGAGCCACCATTACTAAAGAAATGTGGTTTTCCTGAAAATCAATATATAGTATGTGTTTCTAAAAATCAATTCTAAAGTAGTGTCTCTTCTCTAGTGAAGCCATAACATCAATGTTATTATTTCATCTGTTCGATCACATCTTATGTTATTATAATTAGATGATGTCCTTCCGGCTACTCTTCTCCATCCCATTCTATCATCCTTCCTCACATAATTAGGTGGACCCAGTAGGGGAGCCTGCGCGGCACGGCGAGGTCGCATCGCACCTAGGATGGAGGACCACTGGCTCAATTGCCTATCTTACAACCAACGAGGTACTACGGAAAGAGATGAATTCACACAAGCGACAACAGAAAGAGGTTTCGGAGTCCACTCCTCTCATATAGATATAGGCATCATATGACATTAGGGAGGGTCCGAAGCATCCATGTATATCTCTTACGACCACCTAGGACGCCGTTAAGGCGTGTTGTATTGAACTTTTCCTCTATCTTGATACAAAGATGCACAAACTTTTTGCGTGATTGAGAATAGAAAAATAAAACCTTGTCATCTGGTACTAAGAAATTCGAGCCAAGTGATAGTTTTTCTATAACTATGAAGTCAAAGGCAAACGTGACAAAGAACATGATCTGCAGCTTACAGGTAACAGGTTGTTTTATTGCTAATCAAGATAGACTAGGAAGTAGGAACCACCTTCACCTATTTCTTTCTACAAATCTAATAAGCCTCAAAAACCTTGGCGCCTGATAAAAATCTGAACTGGCCGGATTGTGATACTCAGCATCACTATTCTGTTCCTTCAGCTTACCCACAAACTCTGATGGCATGCCAAACAATTCCATGTTTTGGATATGCTTGAGGTTCTCCATTCCTAGAGGTGTTTCAGTCAGTTCAGTGCAATGGCCAAGCGCCAGATCACGTAGGTCCATAAGGCATCCTTGTTGAAACGCTATGTGACTAAGGTTAGGCAAGCCCTCCAAAGTGAGTTTCCGCAGTATAGGAAAACTACCTTCGCTGAAGATCATGTCTTTGTCATGGTATGCACCGATGAGGCTGAAATTTACCAGCCTAGGAAGGGCAGCGAGGAGCACGAGTGAGTCTTGCGCAATTTGGCAACCACACAACCTTAACTGCACGAGGCTAGTGAGGGAGCAGATCCATGGTGGCAGCTTCCCTCTTGCCAACCTGCCAGTGAGAGCCAGTTTTTGTAGCTTCAATGGTGGTCGAGAAATTGATTCGAGATCCAGTACTGCGTCAACTCCAGGTTTAATTGCGACCCCCAAGCGCAGAAGGAAGCTCATTCTAGAGATTGACGATGACAAGTCAGCGGCAAAGCTTGCATCAATGACAGATATCTCCAAGCTCCTCATCTGCTCTAGCTTTGCTAACGATCGAACCATCTTCTTATCAGCTTCGACATACTTGAGTGTCTGCAGGCTGGCCAGGTTTTCTAGCCCGTCAGGAACCCCAACTGCCGTGCCAGGATACGGCTTCAAGAAATCACTTGTCTCACGCTTTAAAACTATCAGGTGGCGCAGGTTCTTCAGTTGTGCTATGCTGCTTGGTAGCCTTTGGAACATGGAAAACTTGGAATCCAAAATTTGTAGATTCTGCAACTTTCCCAGATCCTTTGGAATCTCCTCAATGAGAGTGTCTCGGACACCAAGATATCGCAGGTTGTGAAGATTGGTCACTGAGCTGGGTAACTTATTCATCTTGACGAACCAGAGGTTTAGCACAGTCAAGAGCCTGAAGCGAGATAGGAACGAAGCATTCTAACTCTGACCCAAACGCATTGAAGGAGCGAAGCATGGGCACCTGCTGAACATGCCGAGAGTCCACATCTTCGCATCTGTCTAATGCGAGATGTCGGATTCTGACGTCGTGTTCGTCCGTTGTTATCTTCTTGCACTTTGCAAACTGAAAGAAGCCTTCCTCTTCTTTGGACCTGTGGATAATCAACTCCCTGATAAGGTCATGAATGAGGCACCGCTTGGCACGGCCAAACTCGTTCCTGGCAACGGGCTGCATCAGGCTGCGTTGGACCAGCTGGTCCAAGTAGTGATCTGCGACATCCTCTGCTGTACACTGGCCTGGTTTATCCTGGACGAAGCCCTGCGCAACCCACTTCCTGATGAGTATCTTGCGCTTGATCCACAAGTCCTCGGGGGTAAACGCTGCAGCTCAGGAAGCATTTCTTGAGGTGGTGTGGCAGGTCATCGATGCTCAGGCTTAGTATGCTCGCCGCTTCCCCTATCCCAAGATCGAAGCTGCTCCTGTCCCACACGAGGCTGTCACGGACATTCCTCCACGCGAACTCTGTCCTGTCCTTGAGTGCGAGGAGGTTGCCTACGGAGACGATCGCCAGAGACAGGCCGCGGCATCGCTCCAGCATATTGGTTGCAAGCTCGGTAAGGTGCTTCGGGCACGTCCTGCCGGACACCTCTCTAAATGCCACGTTGCAGAACAAGGTCCAGGCCTCATGCCTCGGCAGAGACTCCAGCACCATGATCCTCTCAGTTGCCGCGGCCTTGGCCACGTCTCCGCTGCGCGTCGTGATGACGACCCGGCTCCCGGTCTCATCGTCCAGGAACGCATGGCGGAGCTTGTCCCACAGGTGGGAGTCCCAGACGTCGTCCAGCACCACAAGGTACCTCTTGTTTCCCAGATGGCCACGCACGGCCGCCACGAGCGACCTGTAGTCCGTGTCCCCAATCCCCATTGCTCCCGCCGTGTCCGTGCGCACCGCGCGCGCCGGCGTCGCGGTGCAGCTCTTTTAGGATCTTGTTGAGGAGATCGTCCATCGTGAAGCCCTGAGAGACGGCCACCCACGCGGCGCAATCGAACTGGCTTGTTGCCACTTGTTTGAACACGCGCGTGGCGAGGGTGGTCTTGCCGACGCCGCCCATCCCCAGCACGGCAACCAGGGTCCGCCGTGGCTCCGACTGAGTCCTCGACCAACCACCCCAGCAGCTGCGTCTCGTGCGCGGAGAAGCCGACGACTTCCTCTTTCTCCACGAAGTGCGAACTTGCCGCCAGAATCTGCCTGGTCATGGAGACGGCGGGAGGCGCGGGGCCGTCGGCGGGGCGGATCCCGAACTGCTCCTTGGCGGCGGACAGGCGGGAAAGCTTGTCCCGTGCCTTGCGCAGCCGCTTCAAGAGGGCGAACCAGGCCCTGACGTGGACCCAGTCCCGTGCGCGGACGTGGCCGGAGAGGTAGCACTACTCCTCCGCTACGTCCTCCAGCTCGAAGGCAGCGTCGCGGACCTGCTTGACCCACGCAGCGGCGAGGGCGTCCGTGCCGTGGCAGGAGTCGGCGAACCGGAGGAAGGCGCGGAGGAGATCGAGGTCCCGCGCGGCAGCGGAGATTTCAGAGCCGATGCCCAACAGGGGCGCGAGGCCGACGGCGGCGCCGCGGGACAGCGCCACGGCGAGTTTAGCGGAGAGGGATATGGCTATGGCCTCCGGCATCTCTGCTGGCCAGTCGTTGACTTGTCGCAGCAGGGGCCGCGGAGAGGGAGAGAAAGAGCCGGGAGCCCAGGAAGGTGCAAGTTGCGATTGGCACACCAAACGGCACGCTCGAGCACACTTTTTTTCCCGAAGGCAAGAGAACTTATATTAAATTTGGATACAATACATCCTTAAATTATACGTGGACCAGGTAGCATGTCTATGCGTTGCTATGGGACAACTAAATCTTTTGTACTAAAAACACACGGATCGCACGATAAGATAACAATACTGGCAACATTTAATTCAAAAAGCAAAATTTATGAAATTAACATAGTCACGGAGAGCACGACGTCACAGGATCACAAACTCTACTGTATATATTTTTTCATGATACGGCTAAGAAAATATTTTATATCGGCAGAAAGAATTTTACGATATCCATTTCTTTCATGTGCCAATAAATTCATGAATAAGTTCCACCGCATCTTCATATAATCATGTACACAGGTTCAAGTATGTATATATATATATATATATATATATGTAAACAGGTTCATGTCTGTGCGTTGCTACGAGACAACTAAATTTTTACACTAAAAACACATGGATCGCACGATAAGATAACAATACTGTAAAAGTATATGACCGATGTTAAAGTGACATTTAATCCAAAAGGCTAAGTTCATAAAATTTACACAGTCACAGAGAGTATGACGTTGTAGGCTCACAAACTCTACTGTGTAGATTTTTTCGTGATGCGACTAAGATCATTTTTTATATCGGCAGGAAGAGATTTCCGATAACCATTTCTTTCGTGTGCAAACAAATCCACGAATAAGTTCCACCACATCTCCATACCATCCTGTATACGACGCTAGCAAACGAATTAGCTACAACTTATGTAATTAGTTTTATAATTAGCTCATGTTTAGTCTTTCTAATTAATATCTAAAAAATTCAATATGACATAGACTAAAGTTTAGTCCTGGGATTCAAACACCCCCTAACTCTCGACTCCTGCTGGCTGCTCACTTGCATCACCATGTCTATGTGTCTGCACGTATATACTAATGCCAGAACGTCTAAGATGGTCTTTAAGCTTGTCATTTGTGTATGCTGTAGGATTGGGATGCTTTGCACTGATCTATGAGGGTTGTAACACCCCGGTGTTATGCCTACATCTAGGCACTGCTAAATCATACATGTCATGCATCATCAAGCATCCTAATCCTACATGCATGATCTTGCATATAACAACTGAAACATTTCTTCGAAGCATACGAAACATGTTTGTGAAACGTAAATGGTACATACACTTATTATAGTTGTTCTGCTCGATTCTTGCTTACTAGTTATGTAAAGCTGTTGGTTATGCTTGTAAATCATCTAGAATGGTTTAGCACAATTTTTGGAGCAAGGGTTGTATTTGAATTATTGCCAAATTTTGCTTTAAAAATAATTCCCCAAAATTAGGGTTTTGAGTTAAAAATTTAACTTTTATTCTATAATTTAAAATCTAGATAGAATTGGACTTTGGTCATAAAAGCAAAATTGTAGGGAATTTAATTCTAAGCAATTTTCATTTTGGTACATTTTCAAAAGAGGTCATTTTCTTGCTCAAAATAATGTTTGAATGGTGGCATTTAAAAATTTCTTGAAAATAAATTGAAAATCTTCATTTCCTTTTTCTGGGCCACCGCCTTCCTTGACCAGACAAAGCAGGCTGCCCGGCCTCACGCCCGTCGCCCGCTCACCACCGCTTTGCCTCGGCCCAGGTGGCTCATTGCTGCCCAGTTCTCCATGTGCGCCTTCTCTCCCCACGGCCACAAGGTCCCATCCATGGCAGAGCTTGCCATGCCACAGCCGCTCTGCTCTGGCGTCGCCCGCCACATGGCTGCAAATGTGGCTGCTGCATCACGCCCACGCTACCCTTTCACCACCCGTGTCCGCACAAGACTCACCACGCGCCACTGCACTTCCTCCCTTCTCCTCCATGCAGCACCGAAGCTCCGAGCCCCACACCGTCACAGGCTCGAGCTCCGCCGTCGTCCAACTCAAGCACCACCGCACCTTTCTCCAATTCCTCGTGCCCCGAGCTCCGCCTCGCCTTCCTCGTAGTGCTCGAACTTGCTCCGCCTTCCGAGCACAGTCGGACCTCCCCTCGCCTCGCCACTGGCGTCCATGGCACCGCCATGCATGCCGCCGTGGGCGCCCTTTTTCCTTCCCTCTCACCTCGCGAGCGACCTTGCCGAAGCTCGCTTTCTCTCGCGCGTCTCCTGCGCTCGCTCTCTGGCGTTGTTGCGGCGGAGAGATTGGCCATTGGCAATGGCCAGCCAGCCCAGCGCCACATACACGCTTCCCGATGGCGCCTTTCGCCTCGGCCGCCAAGCCAAACGGCCAGTAAAGCGGCCAGGGCGAAGCCTGCCCAGTCAGCCCGCATCATCCTTTTCGCTCGGGCACGCAGGTCGAAAGTGGCCGTGGGCCGTCGGGTCCCCTTGGTGACCAAAGAACACTTAAGCTAATTGTTTTTCATTTATTATTTGTTATTTGAAATCAAGAATGGTTTGAAAAATGTTTGGATGATCAAAGTTGCTCCAAATTTGTTGAAACAAATTTTCTAGGTTCCTTATTACCAGATCTACTTGGGAAAATTATTGCATGTCATGTTTGATATACTTTCCTATAGGCTTTTATTTAATCTTGAATATTGCTGATAACTTGAAAAATATGTAGAAAAATATATAGGCTTCAGAAAAATATGATTCCAAGTTTGTTAATCTTCTTATGTCATGTACTTCTTAGGAAAAATATGTTTCATACATGTGCTGTGGGAAAATTTAGAGGTGTAGTTCAAGTGCCTTTAAGGGCTGATTTTTGTTATTTTTGATAGAGAGCAAACTTTGTATAAAACATGCATGTGGTAATTTTTGTACAGCCATTATATGCTATGAAGAACCTAGGAAAAATATTAATTCTGTTGTTTGGCACTTTTCATAGTACAAAGTAATTTCATGCTCATTTTCATGCTATAGCTTGTCATTTTTGTGTAGGATGGTTTACTTATCCAAATGCCATGAAATTTTTATGGTAGTCTGTTTAGGGTAGTAGTATGCTACTGTAATTTTCTCAGATTTTTAGGAGCATCAGAAATTTAGGTTGCTATTCAAACCTATTATTAATTAGGGTTTAAGCAAGTGTTGCCTTAAGTGTGATTAAGAAATTAGTAAAGCTTTGGTGTATCTTTGAAGCATTTAATAACATATGTTGACTTAACATATTGGTAGTAGAAGAAAATGCAGTAGATGACATGTGCTTGTAGCATAGTTTCTTGGATGATGTTGTCTACCTTGCCTTTCAACATGTTCATCGCATTCATCTCCTTCGATGCACCGATTGCATAGGCACTTACACGCATTGCATCATACAGGATCGCAAACCGAGAACCCAGTCGTCATTCCCGAGGAGCCCGAGGAGCGATTCGAAGTGCAAGTACCAGCGAGAAGTGCCGAGGTTTAGCGAGGAGGGCGTTGAAGAACTTCCGAGTGCCCGATCACCGTCCGAGCTCCTTCGAGAGAGGCAAGCCCCGAGCATCTTTCTCCGGTTTGCAATGATTTCGTTAAATGCTTTACTTTAAATTGATGCATTACGTTCAGGAGTTGTTTGCAACCGTTCTTTCGCATTATACCTTGTTTACCTTTGTTATACTATATCCTTGTTACCACAGTATCCGCAATGATCAGTCAATGCTTAGTGGCTTAGACCGGTAGAAGTCGGGTGATTTCACACACTGCGAGCTATAGGTGGTTACCGGATCTGTTTGGATGGCTATGGAGTCATGGTATAACTAAGTGTTAAATGAAGTTGAGACCGGGCGAGACTTGCGGGGTTTTGGACCGTAGTGTTTCCGTCTGTAATGTCGATTAAGGACCGACCGTTGTTGGGCCTCGAGTCATGTTGAACGATGCCTTACATTTAGTGGCCGGATAAAGTACCTTCCGACCGCTGAAGCGGGAGATTTTTCGGCCGAGTAGATTGCCCATGCGCCTTTGTGCGGCAGCAGTGTGGTAGGACACGGGCGGGATGATAAGACCAAAGTGCGATCATTCGGCCCCGGTACATGTGGTTCTGGCAAACTCGAGATACCTGAAAGTTGACTCGGTGATCAATATCTCACTTTAGCGGGTGAGTGAGATTTGTGTAAGAAATAAATCACCACCGGTTAGGAATCGATTCGAATCGCCATCGCTCTGGATAGTGAGCACTTGACTTGAGTGACTTCATCGTAGTAAATGTTTATGGAACACTTGGACGCTTATAGTGAATATGACAATATGGAAGTTGTTTAATGATCGGTGGTTATCATTAATTGCTTAATCACATGTTTACTCTAGTATAGGTGAAAATCTAGTCGACGGTTAATAATAATTAACTTGACAATAATGCTTTTAGAAAGGTTCTTGAAATGCTAAAATGCTTCTTTTGCAAATGAGTCACTACCCTACTATAAAGCCTTTCATAATCCTTGGTGTTATTTATTTTTTTCGGTTATGTCGGGTAAAGTCCATTTGAGTACCTTCTCGTACTCGGGGTTTTATTCCCACTTGTTGCGTGATGGGCGGATGTACTATGGCTATTGTATCAACCGCCTCTATCCTGCGATGGGTGATGCTTAGGACCATGGGCATGGTCATTCCTTACGTCTCATCTAATGCTTTTGTTGGAGATGATCATCAGCTGGCACTATATTTGAACTCCGTGTGAGTGTGTGTGGTTTTAAACAAATGACTTCCGCTACTTTTATTCGAACTTGTTTTGTAATAACTTTCATTTAAACTCTGATGTATCTGTTATGGAAACTTTTATGTAATATGTGATTGGTGACCGCTAAACTTATTACGATCATGGCTGGGACACGAGTTGGTTTGAAATCCTTCGTGATTTCACGGACTACCGGGTTATACGGGCTTAAGTTTGCTCAATCGTCTGCTCTGGTGGATGATTTTCTTACTTAATTTCGT